GGCGCGCAGGCAGACGGTGGCTTCATCCCTGGCGCCCAGGGTGCTTGCTTACAATCCCCAGCCGGGCTCTGTCTCTGGTTTGTGTGCGGCGCGGCCCCAAATTCAGGCCTGAAACCAGAGACCTGGACAGGACAGGGGAGGGGGGTGCCGGCAGACCCTGTGAGTCCCTGCCACACCCCGGCCGCAGTACAGCTGGCGCTGGGGACTCGGGCTGATCCCCGGGCCCACATGGGCAAACGCTGAAGACCCCAACGAAGACCCACTTGCGGGGGACTCTGTGCCCTGCCCCCAGCCCTGTCCTGGGTCTCACACATTCCTCTGTGGCCCCTGACGGTGCCTTGAACCCCAGATGGCCACGGGACCCGCTTTCTCCACGAGCTTTCCTGGCCCTGCTGCTCACTCCCCTCCCCCTCTCCCCTCCACCCAAGCCTTGCCCACAATTAACTCATTTTTTAAGATCGCTTCCAAACATAAGTCAATGCTGGACAGAGCTGTAGGAAAAGCTTCCTCAAGGCTGGCCCCAAAGAGCCATGTGGTGAGACCCGGCCTCTTTGCCAGCCCCCGCCCGCCCTCGGCTCCCACAGCTGGGCCTGGGGCTGGGCCCTCTGAGGGCGGGCCGGGGGGCCTGCGGTCAGACACCCCTTCTTTGCCTCTTGCTGCAGCTCACAGCCCCTGTTCTCAGGCCCCACCCCGACCCACAGGTACCCCTCTGCCTGAGAGGGCACCCATGAGGCATAGGGGCGTCTCGGGCAGCCGTCACACTGAGGCCTGGAACTCTCAGCCAAGAAGTCTGGGGGAACCGGTGAGGTGGCCTCACCCAGGCCACTGCCAGGCCACCCCAAGCCAAGTGTGCCCGAGGAACCCGGCCGCCCCTGGCCCACACACACTCCGCTGTGGGGGGAGGGAGCATGGGAGGTGGCATTCAGGACGTATACCTGCTCACCATTTTACAGAGGAGGAAGTGGACGCCTGGAGGAAGGGAAGCTGCCCAGAGGTGGGCAGGGAGCCAGTGGAAGGAGCAGGGGCTCAACTGCGTCCTCCAGCCCCGTCTGAGGCACAAGGTCTGTGGCCGGGGGGCCCTGGGGCCCCAGGGGCTGGGGTCTACGCTTGCTACCCCCGTGTTCTGTTTCCCCTGGAATTGGAAGGCCTTGGCACCGGTGCCTGTGGTGGAAGCTCACAGGCTTGGCCGGCTCCAGAGGGGCCGGAGTCGCCATTGTCCCGGTGGCCCTGGCACCTGCCCCCTCTCCCGAGGACCCTGGAGGTCCTGGGGCCTGCGGCTTGCTCTCGGGGCCCGGCGCCTCTCCTTTCCCAGCCGCCGAGGAAGGACCTGGCAGCCTGGGGCGGGCAGCCTGCTCTGTGGTGGGCCTCACAGGTCCCCTGTGTGTGGAGACAGAAGCCCCATTCACGGGGGCCACTGGGCCGGCGCCAGTGGAGAAGGAACACAGGCCTCTCAGAAAAGGAGCGAGAGAGCTCGGGTCCAAGAAAAAAATCAATCTCTCTTTCTCCTCAGGTGGGAGCAGGGGACCTTGGGGGGAGTCGGGGGCCAGGCCTGCGGAGGCGTTCGTTGGGGGGAGCCTTCCTGGGGAAGGGCCGGGCTGGGTCCGGGAGGCTCCCAGCACTGTAGCTCAGGGATCCGGACTGTCACTTGCCGCCCCCCTGGTGTCCCATCCTGCCGCGGCCGCCGCTGCCACCCCTCCCAGCCCTTCATCCCCTCCGCCGGCCCGGGCGGCCTGCGCACAGTGGCCATGCAGAGCGCGCTGCTCCCTTTCCTGGCCCTCTGGGCGGGCTGCTGCCCTGGAGGGGCCCTGACCAGGCAGGGGCCGGGCCTGAGAGAGCCCGTGCTGCAGCCAGCCTCCACAGGGCTTCCCACCCTGCGGCCGCTGCTGCCCAGCCCGTCTGGGCCCCCCGACGGTGAGTAGGGGGCACCAGCAGGGAGGCTGGCAGGACGGGACCCTGCCCCGCTAGTGGGACCCCCCGGGGCGGGGGCAGAGGGAAAGCGAGCGGGTCACCCTGAGGCTGCCCACGCGGTGCCCCCCGTGGGTGTTCGGTTCAGGGCCAGGAGGGACCCATGAGCCTCAGGGAATCCTCCCTGGGGGGCGAGGGGGGACTGCAGACTCTGGGAGGCCCTCGCGCTGGTTGCCCAGGGTGGGGGCGGGGGAGGGGAGACAGCCCCCTAGGAGGGGCCACTGCAGCTGGCGCCGGAAGTGAGGGCCCCGCCCAGGGGTGGGGTGGGAGGGGCCGGTGGGGGGACCCAATTCCCCACCTCCTGTAGACGGCAGGCCCCTGGTCAGTGCTGCTTAAGGAGGGGCTCCATGCGGTGGAGGGGAGGCCCAGGGCGGGGAGCCGCCGCCCCTCCTTTGCAGCGGCTGAAAGCCCCTCAGCGTGGCCCCGGGGCTCACCTGGCCCCTAACAACCTGCTCTCGCGGCAGCCACTGGGGCTGTCACCTCCACCAGCGACTCCTTCATCTCCCCAGAGGCTGCCCACCCCTCCCTGCCCAGGAAGAACCCACAGGGAACCGGGGGGTGGGGGCACAGGAACAGGCCCAGCCCCTCTGCCTAGGGCTACTGAAGCTCTCCTGGGCCCACCCTCATGAGTCAAGGACCTGCCGCTGCCTTGTCCCAACAGGCCTGAAGGGTCCCCAGGAGTTCTGAGAGGCAGGCAGGGCGACCCATCCTGCCCTTGACATTGAGCTCTCTCTGCTCCCCCTCTCTCCCGCTCGGGGTCCCCTACTCTGGGATCATGAAAAATCGGGGAGGAGATCAGGGAATCTCTGACACTTGGTGGCCTTGGGGGTCGGTGACAGAAGGCTGAGAGCCCCTGAGGAAAGAAGAGGGCAGAAGTGAGGCCTGGGTGGACAGAAGGAGGGAGGCGGGCCGGCCGACAGCTGATCCCCCGCTCGGGAAGGAGGTGCTGCCTCCCCGCCACATAGCGGTCCAGGCACCCTAGCCCACACCGGCTCCTTCTGCAGGTCGAGTGCGACCCACCCCCGGGAACGGCGGCCCGGACAGGCCTAGTGACGGGCAGCTGGACAGGCCATGGCTGCGGCCCACCTCCAAGGAGGGAGCCCATAGAGCCCCCAAACAGCCCCCAGCCTCGCGCTGGAAGGCCCCCGCCAGACCCAGGCTGGCCCAGAGGAAGGCGACTCCGCCAGCAGCCTGGGGGCAGGAGCAGGGTCACAACCACGGGGCCAGCGCTGTGCAGTCCCATCTCCAGGCCACAGCCGCAGCGGGGCCTGGGGCGGCGAGGCCCCAGGCTGCCGAGCTCAGGCCCTTGCAGGCAACCAGGACCCCCCGAGCCCAAGAGGGGGCAGTGGCTGCCAAGGAGGGCCAGGGCAGGCAGGCAGGGGGCCAGGAAGCCAGGAAAAGGGGCCCAAAGCCTAGGAGGCCCCCCAAAGGTGAGGACCAGCTGGGACCGGCAGCCCCCATATGGGCCCTGCAGGGGGTGAAGTGGCCGAGGCAAGAGCCAACCTCCGCCAATCATACTAACGTCCCCAGCCACTGAGACCCCACCGCGCTCTCAACGTGCCCAAGCTGAGCGGCCCCGTGTGTGGGCAATTGGGGAACCCTCCCAGGGCAGGTCCCCTCCCCCAGCCTCAGGGCCCCGATCTGGGCCTTTTGCCCTTGGTGCCAAGGGAAGGAGGCCCAGTGGCCTGTTGTTCCAGCTCAGCTGGCCAAGTCACCGGCAGGTCCAGGGAGCCCCGGGCAAGCCCCTGCCCCTCGGCGGGCCCCTGTTTCTATGTGGCCAGGCTGGGGCCTCATCTCTCATCCTCCAGGGGCCTCCCAGCAACCCAGCCCTGGAGGCTGGCGTCAAAAGAAAGATCACACCCGAGACCAAGGTGGCAGCGGCAACTCGGAGACCACAGGTCGTGGGCGGAAAAGGCCTGGAAGCAGGCAAGGGCACGGCCATGGGCTTGCAGACCTGGGCGCTATGGAGCAGGCCATGCCCTCCCTGCCGGCCTCCTGCCTCCTGGCCCAGGCGGCCATCGCCTGTGGCAACGTCAAGATGAAACACGTCCCTGCCCTGTCCGACCCCAGCCTGACGACGCTCTACCTGGCAGGTGGGTGTCCCCTCTTCCCTGCACCCACTCCCGTGGCAGGGGTGAGAAGGCCATACACCTTGGTCCCTTGGCCACTGTGGCTGCCACGCCACCGCGCCTGGGGTCGGCCCACCTCCCCTCTGACCTGGGACAGTCAGAAGAGCCAGCTCCTTCAAAGAGTGTGTCACTGCTGCCTCCGGCCCGTGTGGGAGAGGTAGAGTGGCAAAGGGGAGGGGGACAGAGGGGCCCGGAAAATGGCTGCCCCGTGTGCGCACAGAGAATGAAATTGCCGAGATCCCGGCCCACGCGTTCCTGGGAGCGCCCAACCTGGAGTGGCTGGACTTGGACAAGAACAAGCTGGATGCCCTTGGCCTTCACCCCGATGCCTTCAAGGTGCGCGGCAGCCCCTCATCCTGCTGTCCTGGGGGGTGGCGCGGGAAGAGGCCCTGGGCATCCTCTGCCCGCCCCCCCCCTGCCCTACCTGGAGTGGGAACTGTGCAGAAACCCAGCGCCGCGGGCTTTGATGATTTGGGGTAATGCGGCCCATAGCTATAAGCGTGGAGAGCAACACAGATCCTTGGGCCCCACAAGGAAGCAGCACTCCTGGGAGAATCTTAGGGGAGTCCCAGAAACCCCCAGACAGGCCTGGTCCAAGAGGGAACCAGGAAGCCACAGTGCAACCAAATAGGGGGCTCCCTGGGCAGGATGAGCCCAAAGCCATGCCCAGAAGGCCTAGCGCCAGCCAGCAACACCCCAGTCTCCAGCGCCCTCTTCTCCCCCAACCCCCTAGAGTCTGACGCTGCTGAAGCGGCTGAACCTGGATGGGAACTCACTCTCCACGGTGCCGGCCTTGCCTGCCTCCCTGCAGAAGATCAAACTCAACGACAACCTTCTGCAGGGCCTGCAGCGCAGCAGCTTCCGGGGTGCCGGCAGGCCCCAGGGGACAGGGGCCAAAGGGGCTGGGCCTGAGCAGCCACGGAGGCCAAGGGCAGGGGCTGTCCAAGGCAGCCTGGCTGGAGGGCAGACGTGGGAGCGCCAGCCCAGGAAGGCGGCCCCGGCTCCGAGGGCCGGGGGGGTCTCTGGAGCTACGGTGGGCAGCTCCCAGCAGGCCTTCTGAGCTCGGCGGTCAGCTCACCTGCCCCTCTACCCGCCGTCCGCAGGGCTCGGCCAGCTGCTCACACTGGAGGTGGAAGGGAACCGGCTGCACGATGGGAACATCTCCCTCCTGGCCTTCCAACCCCTACGCAGCCTGCTCTACCTGAGGCTGGACCGGAACCAGCTGCGGACCATCCCGCCCGGCCTGCCAGCCTCCCTGCAGGTGAGCTGGGAGCCCCGAGGCCACAAGAGGCAAAGCTGTGGCCGAAAGACTGGAGCGTCTGCCCACGCCAGCCAGGCCGGCGGGTAGAGCTGCCCATGGGGGGGAATTTTGACGATAAACCCACAAGGCCTGAGCACCAAAGGGCCTTTCCTCCACCTGACCTGACCTTCCTGGAGCCCAAAATTGAGCCTCGAGGACTGTCCTGGACCCGCTGGGTGTCCCTGCACACGGCTCATGGCCTCTCTGGGCCGCATGATCCCCCGTGCTTGGCGGTACTCTCTGAGCCTGGGTCCTGTGGGACTCTGAAGAGTCATGACAGGGCTTGCGGGTGTCGCTGGGATCCTTTGCACAGCTGGCCATGGCCCTGAGAGGGGCAGAGACGGAGGGACCCAGTGGAAGGGGGCAGGGGACCCGGCCAGGCTGCCAGCGAGTGGTGGGTGGGGCGCTCACCCCGAGCCCTGGCCCTAGGAGCTGCACTTGGGCACCAACGTCATCGAGGAGGTGCCAGAGGGCACACTGAACTGGCTGGCGCCCCGTGCTTGGATCGATCTCCCGTGAGTGCACTGCCATGCACCCTGGCACCGCCCGAGCTCCGCCCCCATGGGCCGAGCTGTGGAGTCCAGAGAGAGAGGATGCTCCCTAAGGAGGCAGAGAGTCAGGAGGGAAGGCCGAGAGGGCTGAGGGAGGGCGCTGTTGCTCAGGCCTGGTCTCTGGTGGGTCACCTGGGTCACCTGCCTCCCTGCCCAGGGCTCAGGGTGGCCTGGGCCCTCAGCCACACCTGCTCCTCCAAGATTTCCCTCTGTCCCTCCCACCCGACAGAATCCCCAAGACCACAGAAACCCCCTCCCCTGCCCATGCCTGGAGGTGCCGTGGGCCCAGATGGAGGGGCAGCCTGGGTGGTGGGAAGTCGCATGGGCAGGAAGGGGCATGGAAGAGATGGCAGCCATGGGAAGAAGGCATGTGAGTTTCCCAGGGCAGCCATAACAAAGTACCACAGAGTGGGTGGCTTCAAACAACAGAGATTTATGGTCTCACAGTTCTGGAGGTCAGAGGTCCAAAATCAAGGTGTGGCAGGGCCGTGCTCCCTCTGCAGGCTCTAGGGGAGGGTCCTTCCTGCCTCTTCCAGCTTCTGGGGGCTCCAGGTGCCGCTTGGCTTGTGGCCACATCCCTCCAGTCTCTGCATTTGTCTTCACGTGGCTTCTCCTCTGTGTCTGTGTCTCTCCTCTTCCATCTCTTATAAGGACACCTATCATTGCATTGCCCGTCCTAAACCAGGATGATTTCATCTCAAGATCCTTCACTTACATCTACAAAGACCTTTTTGCCAAATAAGGCCACATTCACAGGTTCTGGGTAGACATATCTTTGGGGGGCCACTATTCACCCCACTACAGGAAGAAGGGTCCAGGATGAGTCCCCATGTTCTCATTTGGGCTGCTGAGTCGGGTCGCTGGCAGGAAGGGCCCAGGAGGAGACAGGGCCCTTACAGGCACTGCCTAAGGAGTCAGGATGTGACCCCGGGAGCAGCTGAAGGGCTGGGGAAGTACAATCCATGGGATCTGAAGACCACCGAGGCAGGGCAGGGGTGGGGGACTGGGGGGAGGCAGGGGTTGACAGTCCAACCTGCCATTCCAGAGACTGGAGCCTCCCACCCTGCGTCCTCGTGTTCCAGGAAAAAGTTACCAGGACGTTTGGGTTTAATTATTCCTCTTTCCTCTCCGCCTCTTGCCAAGGGGGCAAAGGAAAGCAGACAGCCTAGGGAGGGGCCGCCCAGCCGTGTTCCACTCACGCCGCGGGGCCTGGGCAGGGGGCTGGCGGCCACCCAGCTTTTCTCCAGCTGGTAGACGGGGAGCAGGCTGGTGGCTCGGCAGGCTTGGGAGGCACCGGAGCCCCCGCCCCCATGGACTGAGGATGGCTCCCATCCCAAGGCCAAAGGGCTGACCCCACCCACAGGGGCTGGGGGATATCACTGAGAGAAGTCACTTTCCTTGCTCGGACCCGTTCTAGAAGCATCACCACCCTCTGCTCCTGATTTCCCACCAGGGAGTGACCTGGGCTCACTGCCTGCCTCCCCGATCCCTCAGGGTTCCCTGGCCCTGACCCCTCGGAGCCTTATTTTTCTGCGGTGAGCTAGGTAGGACCCCTCAGACCCCTTTTCCCAGCCTCAGCGGACAGAGGGGAGCACAGCAGCCAGACGGGGCCTGGCCCTTGCCAGCTGTTGGGAGCCTTGGTGGCAGCTGCCATCTGGGGGCAAATCCTCACTGTCCCCTTGGGCTGTGGTCTCTGCCGGGTGCCACTAGCTACCCCCACCCCGACCCCTGGGCCCGCGGGAAGCTGGAGGCCTTGGACTTGTCGTACAACCGGCTGGTGCACGTGCCCTCCTTCTTGCCCCGGGGCCTCCGCTGCCTGACACTGCACCACAACCGCATCGAGCGCCCGGCTACGTGTTCGCGCACATGAAGCCGGGCCTGGAGGTCCTGCATCTTTCCCACAATAGCCCGCGTGAGGACGGCATCCACGGCGTGTCCTTCCTGGGCCTGCAAGCCTCCCTGGTCGAGCTGCTCCTGGACCACAACCAGCTGCAGGCCGTCCCACAGGGCCTCCTGGGCCTCAGGGCCCTGCAGGTGCTGAGCCTGAGCCACAACAAGATCAGATAGGGCCGATGGCCTGTGGCCATCCTGCTGTCCCCCCCACCCCACCCGCATCCCTACCGCCAGCCCAGGAGGAAGCTTGGCTAAGGCCCGGAGGCCCAGCCTGGTAGGTTGGCCAGGTGCTCTGGCCTGTGGGCTTGTCACCCAAGGGCCTCAGAGGCTGAGGGCGGGACTGTGGGGGGCATCCTTCACCGCCCCCAACTCCCCATCTTGGTCGCCGTGACTGGAGGCTGTAGCCGCTGGCAGGCCCGGGCAGCCAAGGTGGACAGCAGAATCTGGGCAGGGGGTGGGCGGGCGGAGGTTGGGAGGGCTCTGGCCCAGAGCAGCAAGGGCCGAGCCCCGAGTGGGCAGGTGGCAGGTGGTGGCAGCGACCCGCCTGACCCTCCACCCTGGGTCTGGTGTCTGTGCCTTGGTCTCACCACCCCCTTGCTGTCGGGCTCCTCTTTCTCTCCTCTCACCTGAGGCCTGACTCTCCTTTCTGGGGTCTCTTCTCCTCTGCCCCGCCCTGCTACCCCCACTCCACAGGCACGTGCCCCTGAATTCCATCTGTGACACACGCGTGGCCCAGGACTCCAACCTCATCTCCACGCACCTGGAGAACAACCTTATAGACCGGCGTCGCAGCCCACCCACCACGTTCTCCTGCATCCGGGCCTACCACAGCGTGGTCCTCCAGCCCCAGCAGGGGGAGGGGGAGTCCGCCTAGCCCCACCAGCCTTCCCCACCCCCTGCTCTTTTGGGACTGGGTGGGTGGCGGGGCATCTTTGCACCACTGGGAGAAAGATCTAGAAGACCCTGCTGCTTCAGATGCACCCATGTCCCATTGACTGCTGAGGCCCCTTAACTTAGTAAATGACCCAGCCTGGCATGGTGCTGGTTTGGACTTGCACATAATAAATGCATCTCATTCAAGCCCGCTTGCCTCCACCAGCCTCCCTCCCTCCTGGATCTAAGCCGCCTGTGCACGCTGGCACTCCGTTGTGCATGGAGCCCCCAGAGCCCACATCCTGGACACTGCTTTGTCAGCAGAGGGTTAAGAGGACCTGGTTCTAGAAGTTTCTCCGAGAGCCTCCCCACCCCTACCCACCCTGGCCAGGGTTCTGAAGTCCCAGCGTCACCACCCTCTTGTCCAGGACGCATCCCTGTCCCAGGAGTGGACGCACACAGGGTGTCACCACCCCCTGACTGGAGTCGCTGACTGTCTGCTGAGCCCTAAAGACAGGACCCATCAACCGTGCTGGGTGGGGACGCAGGAGCTGCGGAGCCCCCTGAGGCCCCTGGAACAGTTGCCCTGCCTGTGTGAGGGGCCCCCAGGAACGGGGCGTGGTCAGTGTGTCAGCCTCGGCAGCTGTCACCGCGCCCAGTGCTGGGGAGGGAGAAGGATGGTGGTACGGGGGTGAGAAAGACAGCCGAGTGACAGGCGTGGAGGATGCGGCGATCAGGATGGGCCCCGGCCTTCAGTGCTGCTGGATGTGGCGCAGTGAAGGAAGCAGGGCCCCACGTGCCCGCTGCCGAGACCTTGCCCCGCCAGCACCTTGGGCTGGGGTCTGGGCCTGGGAACCGTGAGTCTCGCTTCAGTCCCATTCTGTAGCCAGTCCCCCCCCCCACCCCCCTCCGTGAGTTCTCAGCAGAGAAAAGGCCAGACTCTGGAAGGGGGCGGGGAGAGGCCTGGGAAGCTGGTGGAGTGTTTGCTTTGGACTCATCCCTGCATTCCTTCTCCTCCGGGGCCTGGGCCCACAGATATGGCACTTCCTGTTTGGACTGGGTCAGAGGTCAGCAGCCCTTGAGGCACTGGCCCTGAAGGAGAGGGCCCACTGCTTTCCCAGCTCCCACGACCCCTCCTCCCCAGCATGGCTGCCTGGCCCCGGGCCCCCCCTGCTCCAGGGCAGTCAGCCCCCAGCCCCCTCCCTGCACTCAGGGGTCAGGCCCCCACCGGGAGGCACAGGAAGCTCAGGCTGGGCGACCCCACCCCCCGCCGCTCGCACTTCCCTACTGAGCAGGCCCTCTGGGTTAATTCCACTGCAGGTGGGGAGCTCTCAGCCCTTGCAGCTGCTGGCAGGTGGGCAGACAACTCCTCAAGAGGGCCGAGAGGTCAGGGCCGGGGGTGCCAGCAGCGCCTCCAGTCCTAGCGGGGAGGTGGCAGTGGCAGCATGCCCCGGGTGGGGGGCTGGTCAGCAGTGCAGCCAGTGACATCCCCGGACAGACCTCCAGCCAGGGGAGAAGGTGCGGCGCAGCCGAGACTGGTCGTGGTGGTGGGACAAAGCCCACCCTGTCCCCTCTGCCCACTGGTACCTGCATGGCGGTGGTGGCGTGCTCCTCAGGGCTGGCACTGGCCCCATCGGAGGGTCCAGCGGTGGGTGCGGCCCAGTCAGTAACCCAGAAGCACTGAGCATTGCAGGCTTCCTTGTGGTGATAGTTGTGATGGTGGTGACAACAGGGTAGGGGTGACTAGGTTCAGGTGGCAAAAAGCGAGGCACTCATCCGTCCCTGGACCGAGACGGAGGTCCTCAGACCGTGGGGGTAGGGGTGAGGGTAAGAACACTGGGGACAGTGGGAGCCAGAAGCGGGTCACCGAGGCTAACGAGGGCCCCCTCCCCGGCACAATCCCGGAGTCCCGTCCATTGACCACCAAGTTCTTCTCCAGCCCGCCTACTCCTCGCCTCCAGCGCTCCTGCCCAAGGGCCCGCCGCCCACTCCTTCGAGAGGCTCCCTGCACAGCCGGTTCGAAGCCTTCCTCCCGCCTCATACCCCACGTCGTGGCCTGCAGGAGAAACAAGCCCAGGGAGGAGCGGAAGAGAGCGAGGGAGGCAAAGGACGTGTCAGGCACGGTGTACTCCGGGCCCGGGCCTCCTCCCGGCCCCCTCTCTGTGAGCAGTGCCACCATGACGGGCATGCGGGGCCAGTCCAGAAACCGCCTGGCCCCCCGGCCCTGCACGTGCTCCCCCTCATGGCCCCCACCAGAGCCTCCTGGCCCTGCTGCTGGGGGCTAGCCTCCCCCAGGGGAAGACCACGGGGCCCCGCGCTTCACAGAGTCCCTGCGTCTTGCTGGCTTCACAGGAGGCCCACAGATGCCTCCCTGTGGCACAGCCCCCGGTCCAGCTTCCCTCGTCTGGCCACACCCAGAGCGTGCCTCTCTAAAGATAGCTAGACACAGGCCGGGCCTCCACGGAGCCCCCTTCGAGCCCTGAAATTACAGCCCTGGCGGCCCGGGATACAGAGCCGCTGTGTGATTATGTCCTCAGGGGAAGGTCAAAAAAAGCTCTGGCATAGAGAGTGCCAGCTTTCACCGGCCACGCCTCGGCCATCAGCGCTGGTAAACTTCCAGAGAGCGGAGGCTCGCCTGCTCCGCAGCCGTTCGGCTCCCGTTAGCAGTATCCTCATCCAGAGGGTCCCCTGAGCACACGTTACACCTGCTGCCTCTTGGGGCTCCAGCGTGTCATGACTCTGGCCTCAAGGAAGCAGTGAGGTGCGAGTGGCGGCCCCCTAGTGACTGTGGGCCTAGCCCCTGCCCTGCCCCTGCCCAGCCCCTGAGGGTGCAGAGATCGGGGGCGGATGAAACCAGCAGGCCGTGAATTCGGGGGTGCCAGCTTGGGTTCCAGGGCTGCAGCGCCTAGGAGCCTCGAGGGCCCTCTCCAGGATCTCAGCTGAGTTCTAGGCAGGGTGGCACGCTCAAGAAGTGACCTTGATGTATGTGTGTGATGTGTCCCTGCCTGGAAAGTGGTCCTGGAGGTGGAAGGGGACTCCCGTGGGCAACGCCTTGCTCTGGGCTGGCCGCGCAAGAGCCCTGTGGGAGCACTCCAGGGAGGGGTCGGAAGGCAGCCCCAGGGCGCCACTGCAGAGCCGCCGCCTCCCAGAATTCCCCCTGCGCCCCATCCGGTGTGCTCCAGGAGAGTGAAGGGCGCCAGCGGAAGTTGAGGCTGATTGGCTCAGTGCCCGGGGAAGGGACAGACGATGCAGAGGGGAGACCTGAGAAAGGAGTGGGGAGCCCAAGACAGACAGGGGGAGTGATGAGCAGAGGCAGAGGGGAGCGAGCAGGGCACCAGCCAGACATAGCAGGGCAGGGAGGCTAGGAAGACCCTGGAAGGGGTCTGGCAGAGGGCCCCTGAAGGTCAGGGTCGGGCAGCTCTTTCTCGGGCCCAGAAACTCATGGGCCGAGCAGCTGGGTGGGCTGGAGCCCAGGGTTGGGGGTGATCTCTGTCAGCTGCTGCCACCTCTATAGGGGCTCCCTCTGAGCCCCTGGAAGCCCTGCCCACTGGGCCACCTCCCAGGCTCCCAGGCTCTGCCCTTCAGGGACCCGCATCAAAGGCAGGGTTTCATGCCCACAGGGGATCAGAGGCTTGAGGCCTGCCCTCTGGGTGCCCTGCTTCTGTCCTGGGCCTCCCCTTCTCGCTTTGAAGCCAGGGCACCAACAGCTGCAAGCCAGGGGGATGGGCTGCAGCTGACTCCGGGTCCTTCTCCACACACAGGCCTACAGGACGGCAACAGGCTTAGATGGCCCTGCCTGGGGTGGACCCACAGCTGCTCACCAGCCCTGCCGCCCCTCCTCTCAGCCCCCTTCCGCCCTGCACGTTTCTCTCCCCACCACCGCTGGCTTCTGCCTGCCCCGCACCCCTGCCCCACTACCTTTCAGCACCTGCCCTGGGCTCTGGGGCTCTGGGCTGGGCACCAGGGTGTTGGCAGGGGCAGCAATGACCCAACAAGGCCTAGGTGAGGGCTGGCTGCTCTGCGCCGGGACACAGCAGTGTGGCCTGAGGACCCGGGCAGGGGCACGGGTGGGGCCCCGGGGCAGGACGCTTTCCTGGGAAGCCTGAGCCGGCCACCAGGCTGCTTCTCAGGTCAAGAGAGCCGCGTCTTCACTCCTTCTGGCAGAGGGGTCTTCTGCCAAGGGGCCTGCTGGGGTTTCTGGGCTGAGGAGCGGGCTGGTGCCGGCAGGATCACCCAGCCCTCCGAAGTACCTGGGAGGAAGAGTCCAGGCTGGGGCTTTGGGGGCCTGTCCAGCAGTGTCCCAGAGGCGCAGGGCATGCTGGGAGAGGGTGCTGCCCCCCCCCCCCCCCTCCCCCGGCCCCACCTCTAATCGCTCGGCCAGCCCTGTCTGCCACTGGTTCTTGTGGAGCTAAGACAGCTGTGCACTGGCCTCCTCCAGGAGCCCGGGGGCCTCAGGAAATGCCTGCTCTTCCTTCCTGCCTTGCCCCCCATGCCTGCCCTCCCCTGCCTCCTGCTGCCGCCTCGCAGCCCTGAAAGGCCAGAGGGCAGGAGGCTGCGGCTCCGCTGGCCAGCAGGGACGTGCTGTTCTCAGTGCCGCTCAAGCTGGGGTCCAGGTTGTTCCCGCACTGCAGCCACAGAGAGAGCTGAGGCCTGGGGAGAGGGAGGGGGAGGGGGAGGCCCAGGACTGAGGTGCCGGCCGGCTGGTCTGGGAGTGGCCCCCAAATTAGAGGGCCAGGCCCAGTGACTCAGTAGGCCTTGGGCCGGGTGTGCAGTTATGGCTTATTGCAGACTGCAAACCACAGACACAAGAGCCTTCCAGGCACAAAAACCGTATTTACAGACATATTGCCCCAGACGTACCCCCCAACTGCGGGAAAGAGCTCCAAGGCGCAGGGTGTCGCCTCACCACCGCCCGCAAGTTGCTCCTTCCAGGAACGTGCCGGCCCACCACTCGGCCTTCCCACCTCACTGCGTCCCTGCTCCCCACGCCCTCCACACCTAGCCCTGGGCTCTGCCTTCCACCAACACCGTCCCTCTTCCCTACTTGTCTGCTCTAAGTCACCTCCTCCAGGAAGCCTTCCTGAGCCTCTGGTGCTGTGTGTGGCCCTGGCGTGCCCCAGTCCCCTCCTCACAGAGGGGACCTTACTCAGTAAGCGACTTGGCTCCCTGGGCAATGGGCATGCCTTGTGCCTATTTCTTTTCATTT